GCACACTGTAGGCACCCATATTCTGCAATTGCACTCATCATCAGCCATTCCACTCGACTATACACGGTGGTTTAATTTCAAAATAGTGCTATATCTTCTGACTACCATAAGATTAGATCATTAAAAAAAGATTAGGCTCCAAAATTTTGCTTTCGCTTTCCCTCTAAATTGATGACGCTAGTTTTTATGTACGTAGTACTTCAGCAAGGAAGTCTTTGAATTTGAGATGGGTAATTTGCTTACTTATTATAGAGCCAGTATCACAAATCAAGTTTTCTAATTTACTTTTCCCTTCAAAGTGCAGCTAGTCAACCATTTCTAGTAGAAGAGGCGCACGAGTTCTGCATATATCGGATTCCAAAACTGCGTTCTGCCAGTTCAAATTCAATTCTGCGCTTGTTTTTGCGTTATTGGATTTGAAGACTGGAGCTATCCGTATCCGCCCTAACACTTTGACATCCGTCATCATAGATCCCTAGGGTCATCGCCCGACCACTATTCACACCCCGGCTCACGCTAATTGTAGCGCCTACTACCTTGCCATTCGCTGATTCTTGGTCTTTTTACTAAAAACACGCTTTTGAAACTTGTGAAAATTATTTGGATTTTTTTTGACAGTCAACTCCTCCAAAATATTGAAATTTTGAAAGAAACAGCAGGTGACAATATTTCTGCGAAAAAATTCTTACCAAATCAGTCTTGATTTTTACATGTACAATTCTACATAAGACTTTCAGAGATCCTTTAAAAAGCCTTCTTTCACATTTTTTTTCAGTTGCATATCCGCATCCGCAAGCTATTTAGTTTCCAAAAAATATCCGTGATTGCTTCATTCGTACCATCGCTTGCTCATAAAACTTTCATAGAAATGAAATAAGCGAAGGGCAAAGAGACAACGAGCTATAAACATAGAACGAAATTTATTCGTTGGCGTGAGAGGCTTTCAAGATTTTTACCTTTTACCAAAAACGGAACCATGATAGGATAGTCACAAAGTACTCTTTTTCCAATGTCTGTAAGTCAGCCGCTATCTTGACAAGCATGATTATGCAAGTATGTTGCGGCTGAAACGAAATTCAAAAACATCTATTAGTATTCTTAAATAGAAGGACATTACGAAAAAAGTATGCACTCATTTGCCATGTCTTCAATTTAAAAGTAAGGGGAGAATTTTGCGAAAAAAACACCTAAGTCTTCTGACCTGCTGGACCTCAGGCAGAACTGAAGGTGAGCGTAACTGCCCAACAATAGACCTTCTGCTTTCAATAGGTCCTTCACAACCTTGAGAGCGGATTCTCGTTTTGGAGTGGAAGTGCATTGGTCAAAATCCACTATTTGATTGTTATTAGCTTTCTACCATGCCAATGTCATTGTGTCAATTATTATATTTCAAATCACCAACAAAAGATTATTGGTAACTATGTCGTGAGGTTGGCACCGCCAACAAAAAACTAAACACCTTTGATTTACTCTTGTGTATTGAGGAAATTGCTGTTACATATACCCAGCGCAACTTTTGCAGGAAGATGTCGGCGAAGTGCAATTTTCATATTTGAGAGTAGCTCCTCCACCCAAATTAGTGGCAGAGGTCCTAATGTTTAGCAGTAATGGGACAAACCTTGTCTCTCAGTAGCATAAGGTGATTCAGTTTCTAATCAATTAATTGGCTTGCCGAGCCCCCCCCCCCCCCCCGAAAATGGGTCGCGAAATTTTTAGAAGTTACTTATATGAGTTATAAAAATGTGCAAGCCCTTGTCTATACTTGCAAATAATTGATATAATTTTTTTCTTAAATTTCAAAAATTAAATTTAGCCGTGTAAAAATTTTTTTCAGGGGCATGGCTGCCTCCACTTCCCCTTTTCCTAGAAATTCCGGGGTTATTATGGGTCCGCAAAAATTTCCTAAACGTCCTAAAAAAAGTTTTTGGAGTGCGTGGTCACGCACCTTTATTAGAAGAATTTTTCTGACGTCCCCACCCCCCCCCCCCCCCCGAACGGAAACCCTGAGTAATCCTATTGTAATAGAGACCCTAATTGCACAGAGATTTGTCAAAGCATTTTTTCGCAGGCAAGTTGATGATACATGAGGGACAATGATGTAGAAAAGTTATCAATTGAACATAACTATCTTTTACCTGTAACTTACTATGTGAAGAAATTAGTATTTTCAAAATTTGTGTTACTATCTCATAAACACAGAACTTGAATTTCAGCTCGCAAAAAAAGCTCAGTTCAAAATGAAAACTTCAGGCAAACTTTTTTTTTACAAAATATCGGTTTTTTGCCATGCCAACCAATGAATATATACAACTCACGCACATTCCAAACAACGCAGAAGTCTTCCCAAAACTCATTCGCGTAGGGCCATCTCGTTCCTGTGAAGTTTTCCCCAAACTTCTCCTTGCAAACAACTTCTTCCATATCGAGTATTTGGAAGTAAACATGCGCCATTAATAATGATATTTTTTATCGAGCTGCTAGCGCAATCTATTCGCTGTCCTTGTTGACGGATGAAAAATGTGTGTTCCCTTGTGAACAACGCTTCGTTCCCTCTCAAAACACCACTGAGTCAATCTTCTTTTACAGAGTTGGCCTTGCTCACTACATTATACATATGTAATTTCCTAAACTGTAGCCTGCAATTTAGGAGGTCAAATTTTTTTTACTGCGCAATTTTATGACTATGCGGCTTCTTTCAGCCAAAAATCCCATGAGCTCCATTTCAATACTTCTTTCTTGCTTCTCTCCTCAAGATCATTACCCGGTCAAAAACTTCGGCAAAAGCCAACATTAAGCCGTAACTAAGCTTTCTCTTCTCATTTCCATCCGCTAGATCTGCTTTTGGACTTCTTTTGCCCCATATGTACGGATTCTACAGATTTCTCAAAGAAATTCGCTTTGATGATGAGGTAAGGTTTCGTATGTAGATTTGATCTTGAGAATTAAGCAAGTTATCATTATCATTAGAGAAAAAATGTTTCTCGCCTGGTCTGAGTATACGTTGACATTTAAGCAAATTGCTGACAATTCTAGAAGTTTTAGGATCCAATAAAAGTCAGGTATAGACCCCAAAAATTTTCATTCTCTGCACGCAAGCTAAATTAGTTTGCCATGTATACATCGGCTTGCAGAGGGGCCAAAAACTATGCAATTACTGGTGTAGCATCAAAATTATTCCGTTGCCCTGAGTCACTTTCTCGAAAGAACCTGCAAGGATATAAAAAAATTGTCGATTAGGACTTTTTTGCCTCAAAATGCGCAATCTGTTGCTTCTATGAAGGTTCAGTTTCGGAAAAACTCTAACCGTACACTGTGCTCAAAGTAGGAAAGGCTTGTCACCACAGAAGTGGTCTGTGAATTTGAAGAGGAAAGGGAGAGGTGAGGGGACGAGAGAAGGTTCGAAAAAAGTACCATAGAAGGGACTTAAATCAGTCACGCCATTCAAGAAACTTTAGAATTTCCAAATCTCTTATGAGCCATCTAAAAAAAATTTTTTACGAAGCCATTATGAATTTTCATAAAATCTGAGAATTGACTCGGTCTACAAGTGGATCAAAATTCTCGGTTTTATATCTTGCCTACTTATGTCGACAGAGAAGCTCAATCAATTATTTTGAGGAAACAAGTTAATTGTTTGCCCTAAAAGTCACAAATTGATTTGAAAATTGCTGAGCATAACGATGTGCTGTAACTCTAACATAAGTTTTTGCCTGAGCTCTTCATAAAAGATGAAGCCTGAAAATGCGAAAATTACTACTTGAGGTATGAAGTTTTCATGCAAATAGTTGATGCAGTAAGTACAGCATGAAATACTTATTATACAATGTAAATTATTCTTGCAAAATTGTGAAAGCTGGCCATTTCAAAAATGTGATTTTTCTTCAAAAAATTTAGCCATTATTCTGAGTAATTTTATAATTCTTAATATTTGAAACCGGTTATCGTAGATAAAGTTGTTTAGCGACGATATCCCTACTCAATTAGCTACCGTGCGTAGAGCATCAATGAATTCATTTCGCTAAGGAGCTTAGTTGACCACTGGTACGGAAACCAGTTAATTATTTGTTCCTCACCAGCACTATGGACTCGTTCATGCGCCCATTACAAGATTTTTCTTCGTTTGGGGATATTCCAGATCCTTTGGATCTCTCGGAAACTTGGACAAAATTGGATGTGATAAATGCTTAAAGCAGTGTTCAGGCAGATCTAGGCATTCGAATTAGTTATTTAGGTGCTGAATAGGAGGCCTTGGCCAAGCCATTGCTCAGGTTGCATCTCACATGATTTACTACTGGCCGAAAAATTCAGCTCCGAATTGTCGTCCAGTACCGTATTCGCTGGACGGCTCGCTTGTAAGGAGTACGGTATTGGACTAAAGTTGGAAATTGAAATTTTTGGCCACAAATAATCTCCTGAGCTGGCTCATAAGGACCGGGTGATGTAGCGACGCGATTTGGCAATATTCCAATTGTCCATAACTCAATGTAAGCATTCTGAAGACTCCTGGCGAATTGCCAGATCGCGTCGCGACTAAATCGCGTGAAGCATGCCCGGCCCTATAAGCAGCGGCTCACATTGCAGACAACATTTTGACTGCACACTGCTTTTGACTAACGAAATAGAAATAAAAAATTCTGAGACAAAAATTATGAAAATCATGAAAACAAAATCCTTGTGACATATGGCTCAAGTTCATTTATTTTACTTCAAACTGGATCTGATCTAATGTGAACTGTCTTCCTTATTTTTCTTTTAGCTGCTTTTCTTTAAGAAAAATGTCATTTTGGATTTGAATGCTTCGGCGAAGAAACCTGAGAATGGGTGAAAAGAATCCTCCAACTTCTCGACATCGACGTTGTTCGTTTATGTTACATCTGTAAAATATTATAAAATCTTCTCAGAATGTCTGCCAAAACTCAATCCACCGCTCAAGGAGGCCTTATTCGCAAGCATCTGCAGCTTTGACTATTCTCTAAATTGTTTTTAAAAAAATTTGACCCATGGGCTTTATTACTACCCATATCCCGTACTTCGGAAGACCAACTACTCTACGAGTTCACGAAAACTATGTGGAGCCTGTGCAGATTGCTAATGAGAATCAAGTGGGAGTGGCTGATGAGGACAAGAACAAAAAAGTCATTAATCCAAAATAGCCACAAAATCAATTTTCAAATTCTGTACCCTTCAGATCATCGTTCCACAAATGCCAACATGGAAGAAATACGCGCGAATAGTTCTGCCCCATGTTGGACTCATTCTTCTTTCTCTTCTTTACGTTGTAGGAGGAGCTGTTGCATTTTATCACATGGAACGTCCGAATGAGGTGAATTTCTGCAATTACAGAATACGAAAATTTCTCGAGATCTTGCAGATGGCTGTTCGGGAATCGGCAATTCGGCGATTCAATCAGCACAAGGAAAGAATGCTGGATGAGCTGTGGGCCTTGGTAGAGTCCGGTGCTCCTCCAGGTATGTTTGATCTTGATAAAGGAATGGAGCAGAGTTGCATGGATTAGAGGGGCAGCGCCTAGGAACGTCCAATCACCTGGACTTCCTCCATGAAGCCTGATTGTTAGGCATTGGTAAATACATCATCCAAGCGGCAGCTCATATGTTCAATTTGTAACCGAGATATTCAATTCCAAACTCTCGCCCACTACAGTATGCTCCCGACTAATCAGTGTTCCTAAGTACGGTATTGGTGGGAAAGAGTTTGAAGTTAAATATTTTGGCGAGGAATAAATCATCTGAGTTTCTGCTAGAGCAATATCTTAGCCAAGACCATACAATCATTTTCCACTTAATAAACTGAAATATTCAATCTTTACCTGGATACCGCAAAAAGTGTGCGCGGTCAAGGGTGGAGAGAGTCGAAAACTTTTTGCTAATCCCAACTTATGCAATCATCTTTCACTCTGAATCTTAGTGGGCAGTTTCCGACATATTTTTGATTTTTTCTTTTTTTATTCAAAAAATTCTTATCATTTAAAGAGATTTTTTCATCATACTTGCTGTTTCATCTAACATACTGTACTGGTAAATTCAGATTTGATCGAAGAGCGAGCAAACTTGTACGTGGAAAATTCTACTCGCATCCTTTTCGAGGCTTTTGACACACATTTCATTAGTGCGGCTCTGCTGAAGCCCGGTGGTGAGGATGAAGCGGTAAGTGCATTCTTTTTATTGCACTCGGTAGCCTTGAGAAATGTAAGAGGTAAACCCTGTGATACTTGTGACTTTATAGTGAGATTATAGGGACAATGTACTGCTCTTTATAGAGCCCTCTTCTACAATTTCAAAGAAAAAAATATCTATAACTAGTTGACTTACCCGGCTCCGCCCGGCCCTGTCATTATTATATTCGTAATCAGCATGCTCGATTACCTCCTGTGCCAACTCCCAGCCCCGTAGCTCAAATTTTGCAAAAAATCGATAAAATCGACATCGATCGATGACGAAAAGTGGCCTATGACACCCGCCGGGGCCCGATGTGTATGTGTGCCAAGTTTGGTCCGGATCGGTTCAGAAATGGAATTTTCTATTCGGAACATACGTACAGACAGATAGACAGACAAACAGACATTCAGGTTTATATATAAGACCATATTATCATAACTGCTTTACTTTTTTGTGTTTCATATGATATATTAATAATTATTAACTTTGCTTCACATATTCAAGAAATGTGCGCAGTGGGGTCGTACAACAATCGCCCAATCTTCAAAATTCTCTTCTAGATCATGAGCGCGCTCAAAAATTTCAATTTTTAGCTCCCCCTCCCCCACCCCCCGGTACACACACAAAGTTCAAGAGCAACCCTGCCCAAAGTAGGTTTATGAAAGAAACGATTGGCCTTCGAAAATGTAAATGCAATTAAGCTATGAGTTAACCCTTTAGATTTGCAGTAAATGGAATGAGAATTTCAAAATGTCAGCGCTCGGGCCATTCTGCCAAAATGCTTGCTACCGGGATGCCAGTCCTTCTTGATAACATTCTTCCTTCCAACAGGCTTACTGAATTGAAACTTGCAGCTTTTTTTGAAGAAGGAGATTGTGAAACTGGAGAGGCCACTGCACGCATACAGATTCTAAAAGGATAGAAATGTAGTAATGTAGATATTCGAGACAAGAGGTTTTGAAAGTAAAAAGTGTATCGAGCAACACACACTATATTGAAAAAAATTCATGATTAATTACCTGATTTGTACTGAAGGTGAAATCAAGAAACGTGAAATCGCAGCAGTAACATTTGATCGCTTTTACATTTCTGTATTGTCGTTTAAGTTTTTTCGTAGCTTTCATAAGAAGATGGTGAGACTTGATTTTGATTGATTTCAAGCCTCTTTCATCGTACTAACTAGGTCTCATAGCCTTCGCAAGTCTTGAACTAACCAACACTTTATTTGTCGACCATTCACACAAATCCCAAAGGCATTGTAGATAAATCTTATAAGCAAGCATGTCATCGGCTCTTCTTCGAGAAGTTCTTAGCTGCAAAATTTGTTTTGACTCAGAAGAGAAGTTACTTGAGCAATATTTTGGAGTCATAAAAAGTTTTACATTTTCAGTATTCGTGGACGTTTATCACAGCCCTGTTCTTCACTGCTACGCTTCTCACGACTATAGGTAAAGTAATTTTCACTTTGAAAATTTTTGAAGTTATATTAAAGGTATGGTATGCTCAGGCAAATTAATTTATGATTTGCATGGAGATTTACTGAGAGGTAAGCGGTGCCCAAGTAGCCTTTATGACACTTTGCCGCCAAGAATCTCTCGCCCAATACCGTACTTGAGCAGGCTGACAGGTCCGCTTAAAAAAGAGTAGTGTATTGGGCGAGAGCTTGGAGTCAAAATTTCATTCCAACGGGCGACAGTTACCGCTTGAGCAACTGCTTACTTAGAACCCTCCAATCAGTTCCACTTATCTATAGGTTGCGGTACTTACCTCTCCAGGTTACGGTAATCTCGTGCCAGTGACATGGCATGGACGAATGTTTTGCATTGCATATGCGCTACTTGGAGTACCTCTCATTCTTATTACTGTAGCTGATATTGGCAAATTTTTGTCTGAAAACATTATCTGGTTATATTCAAGGTAAGCTATTTTTTCTTCGAGTTTTGAATGGTTCCATATAATGCGTGGACAGATACTCGAAAGCACGAAAAAATTGTCGGAATCACAACTACACAGCTCTACCGACCAAAGACGAGCGTACTCGAGATGGAGAGCAGCTCATGCCGGTAAATTTTACAAGATTCATAATTTTAGAATTTATACGACGAATCTCGCACAGTAGCGTCATTTTCCGAGCTGACCAATCAGTGTTCTCGAATACTGTGTGGGCGAGAGTTCAGATTTGAATCTCTCGGCCGCGAATGAGTCATAAGTTGCCTTGGGTGACCATTTCATTTAAGGTCCTCCCAATTAGTTTCCATCTAGGAGACCCACGTACTTAAATTTGCTTAACTGCCTATGATGATGTGTATTTTGGTAGTAGTGACACTTATTGTTGACTTTTTGAGATAAAAAAAAACTCTTGGGCGGGGACCCAGGAATCTATGAATAAAGGAACACTTGCCACACAGTCCGAAAAATTTCTCGAATGCTTCACAAATTTTTGGGGGTTTTCAATCCTAGAATTTTCTAAAAGGGGCGAACGGTATATCACATATTTTACAAATTTCAAATTCTTCAAACTTCACTTTCACTCGATAACTCAAACAAGTCATCTGCACAATTTTCACAGCTCATGTAGGCTTAGATGCAAGTTGGAACGCTGTTCTGAAACTGCCTCCTTTATGTAGAAAAAATTTTAAAAAAATTGTAGGTGTTTAATGTGGCTCAAGGGGAAATGAGTATTTGACATTTTTCTTCTTCTTTGCTTAAAAGATTAGTTTAAACGCTCAATATATTTTCCAAGTCATTTTGCTCTAATTAGAAGCTTTTTAAGCAAATTTCTATTCAGAGATTGCGCGAGGCACAAAAGTACTCAAATTCACGCGAAACACATTTTTTGCTATAGTTTGCCAAATTGCCACAAAACTATTTCTTTCAGCTTTGAAAAATAAATCAAAGCTAATTTCTTCCAGGGTCTTGAGCAATACATCTCCATCCCAGTCGCACTAATTGTCATGATATTGCTCGGCTATATGGCTGTCGGCGCTGTACTTTTGGGATCTTGGGAGAATTGGCCTTTCTTCTCGGGATTCTATTTTTCCTTCATAACAATGACCACCGTAAGTTGCTTTCATAAAACTCTCAAAGGAGACGATAAATTACTGCATTACCAGGTTGGTTTTGGAGACATTGTTCCAATCAATAGAGAATTCTATTTGCTTGATCTTTGCTACATTATTGTTGGGCTGGCTATTACGTAAGTCATTTGTTTATTTGTTTTGCATTTATCAATTTTTGAAATCTGAGGATTACCGTTCAAATCTTTTGCTTGAACTCCATGAAAAGAATGAAAAAAAGTGAATTTATTACTGGGAAATAATAGTAGCATTCAAGAATTCTCTGGAATTTTCTTTCATTAAAAAAAGCGTATTTTCAGTACCATGTGCATTGATCTGGTTGGCATACAGTACATACGAAAAATTCACTACTTCGGAAGAGCCATAAAGGTGCGGTTTTTTGTTCACTCGAACATTCTCAGGACATGAAAAGTTGAAATTTATGCCGAGGAACAAACCTTTGAATCAATTAGATTTGACAAAATCAAGTTATGAAGAAACTGTTTGAGCAGTGTTTTGAGTAGAATCGAAATTCCAAATTGTTGTTAGATCATTGAATCTGCAGTAGCTTTGTAGCAGATGAGAAAAAAGCATTTTCAGGATGCACGATTCGCTTTGGTAAACGTAGGTGGTAAAATGGTACACGTACCGGATCTGATGAGATACGCAAGTGTTCTACAACAGGTAACCTTTGTTTCAACCTGCTTGGCTGATGAAGGCGGGGTCTTGTGATCTAATTAATGCCGCCAGCGCCCACTACGTAGTCTGCGTCTCGCCTTAATTAGGTCACGAAGCCCCGCCTTCCAGCCGCCAAGTCAGCTGAATCAAAGGGTAATTCTTTCCTCCTCCTCCCCCCCTCCTCCCCTCCTTACCGTCGAGTCATTCGTAACTTACGTAATGCACATTATACACGCTGACGCACAAACTGCAAACTAAAATCCGCTCATTTCTAGTGATTGCACTTTGTTTGCTTGTCTCTTTTGTTTTTGTTCGTCACATATTAGCCAGTAGAACACATTTCAACACTTTGTTAGACTAGAAACTATTTCACTGGAAAGTTACCAGTAAGGTTGCAGTCGCTAATACGGCATAGTGTGCAGTTTCACATATTAAGTTACAAATGACTGGAGGTTATATTCAATCGCTTTGACTTGATTTCTCAACATCTTCTGCAGAAATATGGTCACAAGAAAGCACAGGAGACAGTGATAGTGAAGGGAGCCTATGCACCGAAAGATATCAATAAAATCAGGTAACCAAAATGTCCTGTAATATGATGTAATCAAAGAGTTTTTTCAGATTCATTGATTATGGCGCTTTGGCTTCAGTGGAAAGTCTCCAGACTATTTTCTCCAATATAATGAATACAAAAACTGAGCCAGCAGCGGTTTGACGATAAACGATGCTGCTATTTTCAAGTGTAATGCTATTTCATCGATGTTTTGTTTCCCTCCTTGAGATGAAACGCTCCTCAGCTTGATGTTCAATGTTTGGGGCAATCAGTCTTTTGTCACTAACCTTAAGAACGTATGAATGCCATCTACCACTGGCACTTCTTTTCCTCGACATTGAAAAAGCTTTCGATGTCGTTGATCGAAGCAATCGGAAGCTCTTGCTTATCTTGGAATGGATGCTGTCACGATCGCGATGATGCAAATCATATCAAGCCGCAGCGACTCATAACACTCCATAAACATCCATCAACATCCATAATGCGACCAATAGAGTGCTGCTGTGTAGCTCACTCAGCTGCCGCGGTCACTTACTTCCGGTGGACGTCACACATAGCGATGGTGCAAGGGCAGGTTCATCTTGGTCTTGCCGATTTTTGTAAGATAAACTCCCGACTTTGGCTCGAAACTAGCAAGATTAGAGGAGACATTTGTTGGCCCGGTGTTGCAGGTTTTATTTAAATAGATTCAGGCCTCTGAGGACGCCGAAGCTGTTGTTGATAGGCCGATTGAATAACTTACCATCATAACAAACCTGTTCCGACAGTACAGCTGAGCACTCCATAAACAATTTCAAAACTTTATCTATATGCAAAGTAGATCGCGTTAAGTCAATGCTTAGTTAGCTCACTTTCATCAGACTTCTGCGTAAGTAAGTGAATCTAAACGGTGAGAACAAAAGACAGATATTGGACAAGACATTGGTGGATGGCGCGATGTATTCATGGTTTCGGTCCAAGTCAGTTGGAATTCATGGCTATAAAGCTTCATCGTGCGTGCCATCTATTTGGACATCTAATCAATGATCACAAAAATAAGTGGATGGACGATGAGTGAGATAATACTAAAGAAGCTCTGTTAATTGCACTGACTTCAACATCATTGAAGAATGCTTCGTTTGTCTTGGGCAGCTACTTTAGTGCTGCAGTCATAATGGAAATTACATACTAATATAATATAAATAAAGAAATTTCCAGACAGTATAAGTATAATTTGTAATGGATTTGCATGCACTTTCTCACCACCAAAATGTTGTTGTTTAAGCCAACAGCCAGTACTAGATGACGTGATACTTCCAACGTTTCATAAAGCTGTGGAAATTGGGCGGTAAATAAACTCGCTGTTGAAAATTTTTCGATGGCAAAGAGCTATGAAAAATCTTTTTACTTGGGACAATAGAAATGTTGAAATGGATACGTAGAAAGACTATTTGCTGGAAGAATTTTTGATAAAGAAGGCGACGAACAGCGGGCGGCATTACACGTTGAACTCTACTCTGGCCGGCGTTTTGTTGCGGAAAACCTTACGCGATGGGAAAACGTTCGTTAGCATTGTTATAAGCTCTTCCAAGACGAAGGTCGCTTCGATGCGCGACGCGGCAGTGACGCATCTGTGGCGCGGCTGTGACGCAGTCGTGTCACAGCCGAGTTGCACATAGAGCCGACCGCCTTCGCCTTGGAAGAGCTTTTAGTTATATAAGCCTACTTATAATTGAAAAGGATTAAGAATGATTTTGCTGCGCGGGCAAGGAACTACATATGTGTCCCACTATTGACGAATCTGTGATAAACTTCATTATCAGCTGCACCAAAGCATTGCTTGAAGCTTCATATTACTTTGTGCCTGGCAAAACAGCTGAACATTTAGGGCATTTAAAAACAATCCTAACACACTTATATGCGGGCGAGGTTGTATTTGGATCGTGTTCTTGTGGCTCTATTTGTAGAAGATGGTAGCCGTCTGGAATATTTTCAATTCTTACCCCTAGCTACCAGTGGCGTACCGAGGGGGGGGGGGCGGGGGGGGGGGGGCGCGCGCCCCCCCCGAGAATGGGTCGCGAAATTTTTGAAAGTTACCTATGTGGGTTATAAAAATGTGCAAGTGACTTGTTTGTCTTTGTAAATAATTAAAATAATTTTTAAAAATTTTTAAAAATTCAAATTAGCTTTGTAAAAAAATTTTTTTCGGGGGCGTGGCTGACGCCACGCCCCCTTTTTCTAGATTTTAGGGGTCGGGGATTCGCAAAAGTTCTGAGAAGCACCCCAAAAAAATTTTCGGAGTGCGTGACTAACGCCACGCACCTTCTTTAGAAAAAAATTTCTGTCGCGCCCCCCCCCCGAGCCGAAATCCTGGGTACGCCACTGCTAGCTACCTATCCCCCTAATTCGTCGAATTGGTATAAAACTGTAAAGAATTTGCGACCGTTTGTCCCCTGACGTTTATCGAGGAACTGAAAGATTACCGTCAGCGGAACGACGAGTCTTGGAACTTTTGTTCGGTCATAGGGTTTATGTTATCAAGACCTGAAATTCCTGCGATAATGGTACGGAAACGAATTTGGTAATGTCGAGCTCCTCCTGTCATTTCAAAAAAGCTTTTCCCCGCGAACCTTACCACTGAGCCTGCTTTTGTCCGGAGCCTCTCTGTCTCTCTTTGCCTGTACCCTATAAAGATAGTTTTGTCCAGAACCACCATCAAGTAATATGTGGTAGTGAATGGTAATACTGAGCAGCCTCCCACATCTGCAAGCTTTGTTGCGGGAAAACAGGTCATGCTTCAAAAAACTCTGAAGCTACCGACTCATGATTTCTTGTTTTTTTTAACATGATGACTCAAATATTAGATGATTTGGCTAGCGCGACTGAGGGCTCCTATGTCATACGCCATTATACGGTAGTCGACGTCGGTGATGGCGAGCAATATCATGGAATAGTAATATTCAATTTTTAACATTCTGCTTCAACGCGTAATCTTCTGCCTAGTGGAATCATAAGAACTCGATATACCAAGTCATATAGAGTGTAAAGCCTTGATATGAACGTGCTCAACGTCCATAAAGCCTACTGCTCGTCAATCAAGTCGCTCCTTTTTGATGACAACTTCTTAAGATCTTTGTCGAAGGCGGACACGCCGCTTAATAATGAAGCACTGAACCGTAGAATATTTTGGTCTTATTGAATGTCTTCTATGTCATGGCTACACCAGTGATAACAGCCAGTGTCACTTTTTTTTAAAATATTTGAAACAGTCGTTTTTCCTCATACATCCAAGGCATTTGCTCCAAACGATATCCTTTGCGTTACAAATCTATACAGAAGTTTGTGATCAAGTCCAAATATGTTTTGCACAACTTCTGCGTATCACCTCAAATAGATCATTAGCCTATGGCGACCGGAGATTGGGCCGGCGTGTTTTCTGATTTGCTCCAACCTACTATCAATGGGCTGGCCTGTTTTCTGATTTGCTCCATCCTACTATTAATTCTTTATAATCATCGATGAGGATTGCTGCGGCTTTCTTGCTATAAGGTACGTCAAAAAGTCTAAACCGCTTTTCTAGCTGTAAGAAAGGTGTTCTTTTGAGCATATTGCAGCGAAAGTATATACACTCTCATCTGTCTTCCAGTTCTTCCACAGCATTTCAGAAATTTAACAGTTCATAAGAGCTTAAGCTACAAATTAGGGTATGTATAGATTTATTGTCGTCAAAACCTACTTGAAATAGAGCGCACGTATCTTGCTACTTCCTTGGAACTCGTCGGACTTACAGCCTCCTGGATTTCTTATATCCTCTGCTCACCCAATAAGACTCTTCATATTCCTGTTTCTTCATTTAGACTAGTCTCAGTCAATATCTAAAACCCAACACTTTCACAATTTTGCAGCTTTCTTGGGAACTGCTGATGAGGGGTTTCACGCTTTAGCAGCTTTCTTGGAAACTACTGATGAGCCAAGAAAGCTACACCACCGGTCTAGTTCTTAGGCCGGTAACCGGTTGTGTGGAATTCAAATATGCACTTTAGCCTTTTGTTTTCACCTGATCTTATTTCACTAACTAAACATTATCATTGTACTCTTTGGTTGAAGTTTCTAGCAACGTCATGGTTGTCATGTACCAGAGCGGATGCAGAGAAGCCTTTATCCGAGAGGCAAGCCACGAGAATGAGACGTCCACGACTGTCGCAACTATATAAGCTAACTTGTTCACATAAATAAGTGACATATCTACCCTCGATATCATCCCATATGTCTTCCCTCAACATGACGTGGATTACCAGGATTGATGAGGCGCCGCTTCGCCTCGGGCTTGCGCCACGTTGCGTGCGCATCTTCGGGGTGATGTGGCAACAAGAAGAACGTGGAGAAGCCTGCGCCACGTTGTGTTGAGCGCCACGTCGCGCCAAATGATGCGCTCGCAGCGTGGTGCGAGCCCGAGGCGAGGCGGCGCCTCATCAATCCTGGTAATCCACGTCATGTTGAGGGAAGACATATGGGATGATATCGAGGGTATATCATTTTGCATATCATTCCTCAGTAGTGGTAGTGATCACTGGTATATGCCCACAACTCTACCTCAGAAAAATTTTTCTTTTCTTTTCACTTTCCTTCTGACAATTTCCGACTCGCGTTCATCGAAAAAATCTTCGAACTTTCGAAATGGCTGATAATTCTCATTCTCACAAAATTATGAACTTTCGTAGATTAAGTTGAATCAGTGACTATAGCCTCTGTCGGCTTTTATTGTAAAACTTTTATATCCAAGATAAAGGAATGTGAAAATATCGACTGAACAAAAATTGAGAAGATTTTCTTCGTTTGAAGCAGAAGCGTGCTATGCTCTTTTGATGCTTAGGATGCAATATGTTACTTACTGACAATAACCAAGAGCATTTCTTTTTCGTTGTTTGTTCTAAATGTGTCGGGCAAAAGCACACTCAATAATCGGTACCAAGTTCTCATGCGCTCAATTTGCTCTGTCTCAAACCAAATACTTGGCACATACAGCGAGTTCCGAGCCGCTTTAGGCAAAAATTGGATTGGCGGGCGTTTCGCAGCTACAGTATATCATATCGCGCTGAGAACCCAAGTCTGCGTCTTTTCATTCTCCTCAGTCTTTGCTTGGCAAAATGCCAGCGTTATGCGCTCGCGAAGCCTCTTGCGCTTGCCACGCGCTGCTTCGCCTAGTATGTTTCGCCTAATCCGCAGGGCCCGGCAAGAGGTGGGCAAATGACAAGCTGGAAGTCGTTTTTGGTGGAAAAAGCAAGGGGGATATCGTTTTTGCGGGGTCGAGAGCGGAGCCTCGGAAGAAGATTCCAAGTGCAAGCGAAAGAAGGTCGAATCATGCTCATTACCTTATACATCTAATTCATTGGGAAAAAGTTTTCATAAGCCTCAACGCACAGCAGAGTTTGCGTGCGCTACGCCGCGCCGCCGCTAATATCCGCGTGCGCGACGTCGCATAAGCGATGCCGTTAAATAGCGCGATTACATGATCAGTTCTCAATGCAGGCGTAACGATATAGCACCAAATTATGTAACCGAACGAAGAGAGGCTAGTGGGAACAAAGTATAAAATATTATGAAAAACTTGTGTGAATGGGAGGAGTAATAAGCATTTTCTCCCAAAAATTTTGCAAAACTGGTAAATGAATATGTGAATTCAAATGGCTCGTTTGCAGCGCACAGATGACCATACGGTATGGGACTTGATAGATACATGAACACACGCATGCAAGACTCAACTTAGAAGTTTTGTTGAAAAATTATGTGACTTAAGGTTGTGGCAAAGTTTTTCTGAAAATTTCCCCCTATCAAGAAAATGGAAAAATGGCTCGATTGCAGCGCAGAGTAAACGAAATCGCCCGAGACTTGGTGTGTATACGCGTAGTAGGGCTAAGGAACAATGTGTGAAAAATTATGAAAAATTGATGTGAATGAAGAGCGTGCTCAATTTTTTTCCAAATTAGGTGGGCAATTGCCCACCTAATGCCCACCAGAGGTGGGCAAAACTTTCAATTCACATAATTTTTTCAAAATTTTTTACATAAATCTGTTGTACACCTAAAGTTTACTACATGGTGAAACTCCTCCTCTTGTCCTTCTTAGAGCCCAAAATCGCATCAGCAGCATAGTTTCTCAGATGGAAAGCGCGCCCCAGTCAATCGATACGCGCGGGAACGGCGTCTCTCAGTCCTATGACTGCGTTACTTTAATATTTTGTCATTCCTTCATCATTTTTCTTGCTTATTTTTCTTCCTGTTTTCTATCGTGATACAGCTGAGGAGTAATTTGAGGAATTTGAGCACTTTGGGCGCTTTTGAGCGATTTTAGGCGAAGTGTGGCCGGTACTCTCGTTGCACGAGCACAAAGCGTTGATTTTGGACTCAAGGGGATGTAAAATTTATTGGGATCAAAGGGGAATTCGTTTTGGAAAACCTCGTTTGCCCACCTCGTGCCGGGCCCTGCTAATCCGGTGAAACCGACTGCAGTCTCGATTGATGTGGGTATTTAAGGTTCCCAAACCTCCATATCCAGAGATAGTTGTAAGCAATTCATACCAGCGTTCTGTTGTCCAACCTTTCCACATGCACCAACGGGCACATCAACAACAAATTGGCGCAACAACCATTCTAGAACTCGGGGCAAAGGCATGCGACTGATGACCCGTAGCCACGCACTGCTCAAACTCTGTGCATGAACTGTAAGCACTCCACCCAAAGATTTGCATAAAACAGTTGACGTATTCCTTGCTCTATCGACATCATCGAGTAGCCGCAGCCGAATACACGTTGTAAAAATATCCCCTGTCTTTTCAAGAGTACGCGGTCCTTAAACTCAAGCCCGAATTGCTCAACCACTGCCTGCTCCTGCGCTCAACAACCGTATTCGACATGACCATGACATCGTCGCTCAGACACACCCAGTCTAGGCCCGTCAGATTGGATGCCAGATGCCTGCATAGAATATCACTCGCCATCGTTCCAATCAGAAGTCAATCGCCAGCCACTCACGACTCCACTCTGGTAAGGGATGTGTCGTCCAAAAATCTCCACCTTCAGTCTATCGAATGCTGTATCTCCTGTTCAGCCATATTCTAACAATCAGACACACGCCCGAATTTCTATAACATCTTCTATAGAACAGCGTGTATCTGGTGATCAAAACTTGCGCGCATCTATGCTCGTATAATAGCCGTAGAACCGCGAGTTCAGCCGGCGATGACTAGATACTTAGCCTCATGCTAATCCATTAGGGTTTCCCCGCAAAAGCATTTCGTTCGAACAAAGTTAATCGTGATGTGATCAATTGCCCGATGAGCAGGCTATTTTAAGCTAATTTTCTTACAAGCACGATGGGCGAGCGGAGCGCTTGTCTTTCTTGTGAAGAAATCATCCGAGTCAGCTGCGCCCGCAAATAACCAGGCATGAAATGTTGGTTATCGTTCGCAATTGATAATATGCTCAATGCAAAGCTTACAGAACTCGCAATTGGCACACTACAAGTATGAAAAAATTGAAACTTATAAATACACTAGAGAGAAATCCCAACTTAGAATAATAAGAAGAAGTAGATGAATTTTCTACAAATGTAATGGGTGAGTGGTGCTCATTCATATGCTCTAAGTCGAGCCTCCGCTTTCATTGGGAGAGCCCACCGGGCACTTAGCACAACGATGGTACCGAGCAGGCGGCCACATCGCCGGCTGAGCTAACAATCGGCCTTTGGAATATAATAGAAGGGTACGAATGAGTGCTCGCTTACCGGTTGAGCAGAGCGCAACTTGACACGTCAAAATAACTTTGTTTAGATTTTGGCAAGGCAAGTTTTGACACGTCTTATGCGTGTCAAGACTTGACACAAGACGTGTCAAAACTTCGTTTGTTCATTCTGAGATAACAGTTATGTACTACTATCTCATTTTCGGTTCGCCATACAGCACACTTCTTTAGTGTTACTGATGTTACCAGTGATACAGTGTTGTTACCCGTGCAGCCGATGTTACCAGTGCTGGCTGTTATCGATGTTGCTAGTTACTAATGTTACCGCTTTGCTGCCGCTAAAATTGAAATGATGACTACTGCAGTCTTATTTCATAGAACTGAATCCAAGTGTCGTTGACTTCACTTTCTATAACATTCAGAGCATCACACATCTATAGCTTACCTGTGTTCCGCCTTCACAACCAAGTCGCTGCCCCTTTCAGACTGCACGCCACAAAATGGATTTCACCCAACGTTTTTTACTCGTAATAATGCGGAATCTCATTTTATTATCACTTTCGATTGCCAATATTGCTTCATCTTATTCATTTTGAAAACTCCGTAGTGTTGATACACCCAAAAGACTGCACACCATCAAAAAATCAGTGCCAAGTGCTGGAACCTTCCGAAACGAACACATCAGTATACAGCCTTTCCCTCCTCGTGCTGGACATGCTTTAGCCTTTGCCAAATGGCAAACATGCACAACAACAACGCTCGGTAGCAGCACTTATTCACTTGCATGGTTTTTCGCATCCTTGTCACTTAGAAAGTGGGATGTGCTCTACTACTGTCGTTTACATAATACCATGGTTATGACCTATTAGCGGTTAATAGAAGTTCATTTTCAACGTAAAGTCCGCAAATTAATGAATTTAGTAAAACGGTTTCGGCTCAAAAAGTAGTTTATGGCAACCTCCATCGAAAACATATGTGTGCGGTTGTTCGTGCATTGTAAAGTTTCAGCTCAATACCGATTTACGCAGAAAGAATTCTACAAAATACTAAATCTACTACACACACTTGCGGACTTTCTGCTACGGATAATAGGTGAAAATAAGTCAATTGTTATTGATCCGAGAGGTAACAGCTTTCTCACAAAAGGAGTATAAAATGCATTTAATGATAGGACAAGCACATTGCGTGGAAAACGTAATTTTGAGTCCAACCTATATTTTAATTTAACGGAATGGAGGCTGGAAGGTGGGGCCTAATCAAAGCTAGGCAATGATAAAAGAATACGCTAGCGAGAGAGACGCACATTGCATGGGGATGCGAGAGGCTGCATTCTAGCCGCCAATCTCCTTGAGTCAAAGGGTAGTCATATTTGACCCGTTGTAACAACAGGATATTTATTGCACCGCATTACTACCTGAAAGCTGCTAGCGTTTGCTTAGAATGTTTGGAAGTGCACCTACCATCCCATGTCTGAAATCATGGTCAATATTTGATGTTGTTTAGCTAGACTTGCACATTAGCGTATGCACATGTATATACATCGACTATATCACCCACCATCGCAGGAATCTAAGAAACAAGTAGTTTTTTGTACTGTACTTACTTTTTTGTTTTTTGTAATAGTTTTTTGTTTTGCGATTCTTCGGCGAGAGATTGACCTTCCTGCCAGCAACTTTTGGATTTTTAGACCTGCTAGTTGCAGAGTGGGGGGCTTAATCTTGATTACCCCAGATTGAGGAAATGCTGCTATTCTGGGCTTTACATTTTATATTCTATCGCTGTGCTCGCTGGTTTAGACGACTGCCTACTAAATTGTTGTCGGCTAAAAGTAGTTGGGCTTTCAAAAAAGTTTTACAGAAGTCAGAAATCCTAGTCTGTTGAGAGTGATTCGTACTTATGTTGACTTTTTTGTGTTTATCTGATTTAGGTAGAAACCACTTTCCTGTTCGGACAACGAGATCTTCATCTTATGGGTTTTCTTTTGCTTTTTCCTGTTGTGTTCGTTTCTGTGTTGTTCTTTTTCAGGTATGGTTGTCGAGTGCTCTTTGTCACGTATGTTGTGCGGGATTAATTATGGCTTACGCTTTACGTTCTTTTCTCCGTCTGTGCTTCAAACGGAGTTCTCAATACAATTAGTGCCATCAATTTTTCTGTCGGGCTATTCTACTGTATACCAGGGCATTCGTCAGATAACTTCCACTTTCTTTTCTTCTTCTTCGCTATGCTTGTGTCTCCTACTAACTCCAATTTCTATCACGTAGCTCAAGCGCTGTCTACTTTTTTGACCTCGTATTTGTGCGGGTGCAGCTTGCTGACGTGGAAGCTTGCCAATGTCAACATTGGCATTTCTTTTTCTTCGGAGTTCAGGACCCTCCCCGGCAAACTGTGTTGGGCGGGGCTCGCCAGTATACCCGCCAGCCGAACTTCCGGTTTGCTTTTATGAATCATTAAGGTCGTTCCTTGCTGGCAAACGGGGGCGTGGGTCCTTCTCCACTGAGCCTTACGTGTCAGGTTTTTATCAAACTAATGACTTATTTCTGCTAGCTTATCCCGACACAATCTTTCTATAGAGTATGATTAAACTGACTTGGGACGACGTGATGTTATGTTTGTTCGAGTTGTGATTTATGCTTTACTAACCTTCTTTGTTATGGGCGCCTAGAGCGTATTAAATAAATAATAAACAAATAAATTGAGGCTAAACTCAAAATCGCATAGAGTATTTAGACTATGAACTCTGGAGAATGTTTTAGGTTGACGGAATCACAAATGTCACCGTTACATGATCCTCTGATTCTCTGGCTCGGCGGTGGTTCGGGATGCTCCTCACTGGATGGTCTTTTTAGGGAGCTGGGCCCTTTCCATGTCAACTCTGATGGTTCAACCCTTTTTGAAAACGTATTCTCATAGAACAAAGTTGGAAATCTTCTTTTCCTGGAAGCGAGTCGTGACATTGGATTTTCATACCGCAGTAGCGATGTTAAACCCGATTTTAGATACGATGATCATTACACTGCTGACGATAATGTTCTTGCCTTGACATCGTTTTTCGAGAAGTTCCCTGATTATAAAAATCGCTCATTTTATATCTTTGGTGGATCTTATGGAGGAGTTTATGTGCCAATGCTAACAAACGCTCTGATCAAGAAAATTCAATCTTATGACCGGAATTCTATGTCGTATGTAAATTTGCAAGGAGTAGCGATAGGAAACGGTGAGATGAGTCAGATTCAACAAATCAACTCAGCAGTATCATTGCTATACTTCCGTGGAGTACATGGGAAAAGTGACTACGATGCATTATCTCAGTATTGCAACGCAAGTAAACCACAAACTTACCGCGATTTTGTTTCCTACATAACGATCGACTCATCTGGCAACGTTTGGCCAAAAGTCAACGACAATTCTATAGCTAGTCAGTGTGGAAGAATGGTTGTGTAGCAGGGCTTCACTGTTGTTTGGAAAACGGCTAATGACGCATTCAACACCTTTCAAGACTGCTACTCGACAGCTTCTGATGGCACAAGGGTCCGTCGCAAGAGGAATGCTGATAATCAACCTCTAGTGAACACTCAACCATTTGTAGGCCAAGCTAATAAGATCAATTATCAATCCACGGATGCGAATGGTGGATTTGCGTGTTTTAGCAGAGATTCTACTGAAGCTTACTTGAATTTAAAGAAATCGCTATCCACATTCCAACTAACGTTCCATACTGGACCGATTGCAACGAGTGTTATATACGAGCACTATATCCAACAGCATAACAATACGAGCGCTGTTTTTGATGAGATTCTGAATAGCGGTTATCCTTTTCGGTTTCTGATTTATAATGGAGACGCAGACATGGCATGTCAGTTTCTGGGAAACGAAGGTCGAGCAACTGGCTGCTAATCATAATTGAAAGTAATAAACAAGAGAGCGCCGTGGAATCATACGCAGGGAAGCTTTTGGCCAATAAGGGGAGGTTATGTGAAGTCCTTTCAGTACAATAACAATGTACAGTTTGACTTGCTGACTGTAAAGGCTGTAAAGGGAGGTGGGCACTTTGTGTCAATGGATCGACCTGGCCCAGCCCTACAGATGATCTACAATTTTGTGAATAAGCTCGACTATAGTACGAACTTGACCCTCCCATTAGATCGTCAGCCACTTTTACCCCAGTATAAACCTACTGTAGTAACAACTCCACGAGTGGAGGCCGACAGAGTATATGAACTGTCTGGACTCACTTTTGAAACAGATTTTCATTCACACTCTGGATATCTTAGTGCTAGCAATGGCAGCTATCTTTATTATTGACTAATTGAATCACAGAATAACCCGCAAACAGACCCATTGGTGCTATGGCTCAACGGGGGACTGGGCTGTTCTTCGCTCGTAGCGCTTTTTACAGAAAATGGTCCATTTCATCCAAGCCTGATGGGTCAACATTGTTCCAAAATTTCTATTCATGGAATAAGGTTGCTAATATGCTCTACCTTGACCTCGAAGGGTCGGTTTCTCGTATCAAGATCCATCCGTAAGCAACGATATTGTATGGAATGATGATAAGGCTGCCTCGGATATCTATTTGGCTTTGAAAAACTTCCTCACTGTTTATCCTTACTTTTCCTCCAGTGAATTCTACGTAACTGGTGAATCCTACGCTGGCGTGTATGTGCCAACGCTCACTCGGCATCTTATTGAGAAGATTCAGGCTGGCGATATTGTCCTTAACTTGGTTGGTATGTCAATCGGCAATGGAGCGTTAAGTACGATTCAGGATATTCGTTCCCTCACCGATTTCATGTATTTTCATGGAAGATATGGAAAAAGCGATTGGGACAAACTCCATAACTGCTGCCCAGCTTCAACCGGCAATACATCGCTAATGTATTGTAATTATGACTATTTCGTCACTGCCGATCAGTCTGTTCTTGAAGGTGACATCTATCCCAAACACTTCTCTGATTCGTCTGATCAAAACTGTGCTAATATAATGGCCGACTTAGCCCAGGATAGAGTCTGGAACATTTACACACAAAACGACGTCTACAATCTCTATCAGGACTGTTACACTAAGGCAACGTCCATGTTCGGCTCGGCTGTAAACTTGAAACCCCTAGTCCACTATAGCGGACCGGCTCGTTTCTCTCATAGTTTGCTGGACAAATGGCAAACTTTGTGCCCTCACCTTCGATGCTTGACCCGTTATCCACAGACAATTTTGGTGGCTTTCAATGCTATGTGGATGATGCCACTACCAAATATCTTTCCCAAACACATGTCCGACATGCGCTTCACGTTCCCAACTACGTTCAGCCCTGGGAAGAATGCAGCAAGCTGGTTTAAGAAAAGTATGTCGAGCAGTACTATGATACGACAGCTGTTTCTTAGGATATTCTAAATAGCGGATATCAACTAAGAATTCTAATCTACAGTGGTGATTTGGACACGGCATGCAACATGATCGGAGCTCATTGGATGATCGAATCATTTACAAAGGACAATAATCTGGTGGTTTCAAAAAACGAGGCCCATGGACATACGCGCAACAAGTTGCTGAGTGTGCACAACGCTTCCAAAACCACAATCACCGGCACCACCACCCCGGACGTACTCGACCGCTAGTCATTTGTCGGCACCATGACCTCTCTGCGTCTCCAATCAAAACCCACTATTTCCCGACTGTCTGCGCGACGGACATGCTGGTGCTGCCTTGTCGTGCCGGCGGCGTTGCCGCGGCGTTACGCCGGGCATATGCCTCGGTCACGTCGCCTATCCCTTATCATGGGGCGGCAGCAGAAAGGCATTTTCCGGGCATTTGCCGCGCTCCGAGCGAGTCGTCACGACTCGAGGGGGGTTTACTACAGGCCCAGGGTCAAGCTTGTGATGCGACTGTCGCAACGGGGGGTCGTAAAGAGGGTACCTAAGGTGGGGGAGGGGACGTAAGAGGAGATAGTTAGGCTAAAATGCCCTAACTTGAAAGGGGATCAAAAAACAGATTATTAGTTATGTTCTTTACGACAAATTCATAAAAAAGTGGAAATCAGAATAAGATAAGAAATCTGTAGAAATTCTCAAAACATTTACAAGAGCTCAAAACACTTTTGAAGGATGTGTGATTTGATAAAAATGCTGAATGTACCGATTGGCCTGGAAATCTTACTTCTGAAGCCTTCCTGAAGTCTCACACACTCAACAAAAGCGAATATCTTTACCAGCTGTGACCATCATGAATTTCTAAATCTTTTTGTAATGTTTTCACGGACCCATATAATTTATCTGTACTTTGGAGATGCTCTACTATATCAGTGCAGAATTCGGTGTCATTTTGTTTACTGTGGTTTTTGTAATGATTTTATGTATGGTAGTAAAAAATGAGAAAAGGGGGGTCGTATCTGCGCCTCATCTAAATTTCTCCGGAGCTATCGAAGCTTGTTGGCTGCAATTTTGCTGTAATATGAGGCCATCCTCCGACTTTCTCTCATAAAAATTGCAGACTGTTTTATAACTTCTCTGGTAAGTTACAGAATTTTAAGCTCAAAAATCCCAGTTTTTGCTTTTTAGGATCGCATCTAAATTTGCGAGAGTCGCATCTAAATTTTTTCGAGCTTACTGCTCCTCAAGGGCTGAAACTTTTTCTGTGGATAGTATGGGCACCATGCTACACAATCTATGCTTTCCAGCCTCTCAGTCTTTTCGTGGCCTTAGTTACGAATTTTCAAACTACCGTGCTCATGCACATTTTTGAAGTCGTTTTGGACGGCGCTAAAACGGTTTTTTTCCGCAGGAAAAACTATGGAAGAGGTAGGAAGTAAGCTTCTTAGTCGGAAACATTTTTTGTAGGTTCAAGAATATCATTTTTTCTCCGTGCAAAAAGTTTCGCATACGGGAATCGAATTTGCTGGTCTGAAGTATGCCTGAAAATTCAATAAAAAACTTACGAAATCTCAAACATTATTGAAGGTGTGTATGTGTGCTACAGATGCTGGGCGCACCTACTGACCTAGAAATTCTGCTTCCGAAACCTCACTGAAGTTCTCACGCAGGTGTTTTTGAGATTGACATTCATTTATGCAGGTCACCTCGAGAATGTGGGTGGGGGAGGTAAGGGAAATAGATGGGGGAGGGTGGGGGGGGGGGGTCGTACGGATGGGTACCCTCAAAGGGGGGGTCGTAAATGAGGGTCCCGGATCGCATCAACCGCTTGGCCCTGACTGACACGCTAATTATGGATATGTTACCCGTTATGTTTGGCAGGGCCTTAAAGTAATGCTATCTTAAGTGTATAATTCAGGGGGGGGGAGGGTCTTATTAAGACAGCCAAGGGGGGGGGGGGGGGGTCGTAGCCAGCGATTGTGTGCCACACCTGTTGCTTGACCGGTCATAGCGTATGCCGCTATGATTAAGTCAGACCGAACTTCGATCCCGTCTTCGGAACGACCAAGTTATCCACCCTCTGAAGACAATCAGTTGGTACCGGATAATATGGGACAACAAAAGCGTGACATGACCGACTGCCTTGCTGGTCACTGTGAAACGTCTGCATGTATTTAGTGGCCTCTTCGACTATGAAGTAGAATGCGCTTGGCGCTTTCCCACAAAGAATGCTGTGAAGGGTGCTGTGAACACCGAATATCACAGTGTGCAGCACAAAGTTGAGATCGGGGTCGAGCTGTTCACGAAGCATTATCTGCCTGCGGAGACTGCACCTTCGAACGAAACTGCATGGTTGGGCGACTTTCCTTTTCCATGATATGTCATCCAGAGCCCTACTCGCACAAGAGAGTGAACTTAGTGGTAACATTTTTATCTCACTGCTCAGCAGCTATTGTCGTTCTCCCAGTGAAGGGTCGTCCACTCACTAAGAGAAGCAGGAAAAATGTTCATATTCATATTGCTTTTTCGGATTTCAACGTAGTCCTCCGTTACACTTTCTCATATATGAATAAAACTTTCGGATTATGAAAACCTTGCAAAACGGATCCATTTTTTACAACATTTTATTGTGGACTCCTATAAGTTTCTTGTTTACGCAACAGAAACATGATTGTGCCGTTGTAGGCCAAAAACGCTGATTGTTTTGATGTACGTGTGGTTTCGAGTAGTCTCCAGAGAAATCATTGGCTCTCGGATGTTGTTCCCCCTAAATATACTAACACATGGTCATCCTTAATTCATGTGAACTTACAGGAAGCTAGTTGGCTCTAGCATCTTTTTTTAATTTTATTTGGTTCAAGACTTATAATTTTTGAGTTCGACTTGAACTACGCGCAACATTTGGTTACTTACCAGCCTATACAACTACTAGTGGTTGGTGGGACCTTATTGATGTATCAAACCCACCAGTTCCCCATCCTATAAACCTAAACATAGGCTAGCGGAGGTAATCGAGTCTTAATTGACCTAAGGTGATATCTTTCCTATACCCTCGCCTACCATTCTTAGTTCAAACAGGGAAGTGTAAAAGCGAACGATGCTTATGAACAGTACTTTGTAATCAGCATTTTTGCAATCTTCATTTAAACTTCCATATCCCAAAATCGTAAGCTTACTACGAATAATTGACAAGGTTGGAGTGAACGGATGATAATATAGTTAGCGATATTTTAGTTGTTAACAGCATTTTACTCTCCATGCCGAGTCTTAGCCTCATTCCAAAAGAAGAGAAACAGACAATTCGATGAAGGCGATAATTCGATCATTCTAAAATTCATGCCCACTTACAGTCGTACCAAATGCGCATTCTCTTTTCAAGTAGGATTTAAGCATCCGCAAAGCGAGGGCTCCGTACATCCCGTTTGAGGAAGCCATTTTGAATGCTCAAACCATACGCGCGTGCGAACGTGGCGCGAAGCTGAGACGTAGCGACTGCGCAGATAAAAAGAGGAATCGTGATTGATGCAGACCGTGTCCTTATTCCCAATTTCTTAGCGTAAATTAAAAAAATCTAAGAGGATATAAACCGATAGAAAAAAACAGCTTGTGGCATTCGCCCCACCCCGAAATTTGTATATGCAAAATTTGGTCCGACGGAATTTTCGCAACAGGCCGGCAAGACCGACATTCATTCTGTTTTATCTGTAAGATAAGAATGTAATTATACATGTGGAAATTCAAAAAATTTTAGCTTGTCAAAACTTCAGAACCACAAAATGTTTCTACCTGGAATAAGTATTGTCAGGATTGCTAGCTTGGCACCTTCCGCTGCCGAATGATTGATGAACTTATTGTTAGCTTCACTCACTCTTACATTTATAATTTATGATGGGCTAGCGAAGAGGTGAATATTGCTAGTTCTTCATGCAATATGCGTCGCAGCCCTCGTGAACAAACATACTCCTTCCTGCTTCTCATATTTCGAAAATCTGGATTTATTTCCTTCTCCACATGAATCCTATGAAGAGAGAACAAACGCTAGCTAAAATGAAACACTTCATTCAAAGCCCCGGACGTCACACAGCTGATCCCACATAATTCCCGTGCGCTCTGTTCGCAGGGCTTACTCGAGTGATGTGCCGACTCATTCAAGCGCAGTTTACTTCTTGGCTAAAGCCGAAATACTCGTTTACGGCCACATTATGTGTGTTTTTGTCCTTCGGCTGCATACTTGATGAAGTCTGAGTTATAAGAGCTATTCAGTTTGGAAAAAAATTCTTCTCTTATAAGATGCTTGATTGTGATGTGGAATCATTATTAGGCGATGCTTCAAACTAAGTTGCCTCATAGCAATAGGTTGGTTCAGCAATAAGTAGATCTCTTCCCATTATTTTTTCCCCGATTTTAACATTGAAATCAATAAATCTCAACAGCGGCAACACAACTATACATGGACGTTCTTTTCGATGCATACAGTAAATAATCACTGTCTGGGAGGATTTCACGAGTGCGAAGTCATTTTATCCGGATTGGGTTTTTTTTTATTTCTGTAACATTTGTAAATGTTTGAATTTGTAAATGCTTGAGGTATTAAGAATTTGTTTGGATGGATAGGGAATCTGTAGGATGTTTTAAAACGGAGACACGTTGATATAAGCTAGTTTTTGAATATTATCAGAACTTGGCTATTGATTTCACCTAATACGATCTGAGCGGATACTCTACCATCTTATAGATCTTGTTTTGCTCTATCGTATGAAAAACCGAGTTGCACTCAAAACATGAGAGAAACAGAATTAATTTTTGTACAATCAGAAAAACGTTATGGTACACCCTAATACTTTTATTACATTCTTACTCGGAGCCTCGTGGTTGATTCAACTGTTCTTGATATTGCTCTTTTTCAGCTATTTCCCATTTGTTCAGAAGAAAGCAAGGAAGGGATGTTGATTTGGCTACAAAAATTATCAAACGAACAAACAGTGCAATTTCTGCCTAATTTTCCTGCACAGTCATTGCTTCTGGAACCGGCAAACATTATTTCAGATTTTGATGCCGCATTCTTGAATATTATATTTTTTTGTCTCGAATAATCTTATGGTCCTTCCAGCATCACTGCATAATTCGACACATGCAAGCAATCGAACACGAACTTGTGTGATTTTTGTGTAGCTTAAATCTGAAAAATTGCATCGAAATTACGAGAATATCGTTTTTTTTTGGCTTTTGTTAAACTTTTTACACTACGTTACATACGAGAGTGCAGCAGTGACGGTCCCAGATTTTCCGCTCGGGGAGGGGTGGGGGGTGGGGGATAAAACAATTTTTCGCCACGTACTGCGAAATTCTTTTGGATGCCTTTCAAATTTTTTGCGGGTCCATGACACGCCCCTGAAAAAAAATTTTGAAAGGTGAAATGAATTTTTGATTATTTACAAGTTTGAAGAAGTCACGCACTTTATAACCCATGTAAGTAACTTTCAAAGGGGAGGGAGGCTGAACATACCCCTCTCGGTTGTACTTCGAAAAAAATCAGCAAGTATATACCATGAATGTCCATTGTGTCCAACATGTAAGTAAATGGAAAATTTTTCTTCCATTGTGGTTTCACAAAGAGAAACGTTATGTTTTTCTCAAACCCATTTTCCTAGTTTTGCTGTACCACACAAATTGCTACTGTGGTAAAAAGCAAAGTTATAACGTGTTGTGATTTTGATCTCCTCAAACATTTAAATTCGGAAGTTATAGCTACTAATTATCCACGCAAACTCAAATGAATGTTTTTCGATTTTGGTCTTGAACTTAGCGTTTCTCGCAGAGTTTGCCTTGCTCTATTAATTACGACCCAAGCCCTCACGAAAAAAATGGTGAGTAGAGGATAGCATGTCGCCCCCTTCATGGACAGCTAGCACAAGGCTTAATGCACAAAGGTGCGTGGTTTGTTGCAGATATCTGCGCAACATCACCTTCCGGTGACATGATGTCCTCTACCGTAAAAACTTTCAGATGCTCCAATATTTTTGAAGGAACATGGATTAGGAATTTTCACACTCAAAACCAAGTCCCATAGACGAATATAATTTTGTGCGTTCTTGCTCAACTTCATCATACCTTTATTACAACAAACCAAAAGACTGCTATTTTTTTGACGTATCACTTTAAGATCCATAATGTTCGACGATGGATTGCTGATAACACGTGCGGATAAGAGGGCGTAAAACCCGATGCAGCGCCTAGCATCTCATCATTTCAATTGAATATTCAGTACGTAGTCCGGCGCTAGCAGATTAGATGCCGGCTCAAGAGCGCTTGGGAGAATTGCAAACAACCTGCAGCTCCTGCTTCTGCTCAGAATCGCTATTCCTTTACAAAGCTAGGAAGCGATTGATATGAATTTGTATTTCGAATACGCTTGCCATCTTTGAATGAAAATTTTGCTTTGTCAGTGATTCATTATTTGGAAATTCTATAAATGAGAAATTTGGTTTTGCACTTTTTTTTCAAAAGTGGTCTTGTAAAAGTAAGGCACCTCTTCTTCTGTAAAAACATAAATTCTTGAAAGAGGTCCTGTTCCGCCTCTTATGCCCATAAAAATCTTCAAAAATACTTTGTTCTCATTTTGCTGCAGCAAGTAGATTTGTTGATGGCAATTTCATACAAAGTCCTTTTTACTTTTCTCAATTCTTAGTTTTGAAATTTCACCTGAAAAACTTTTTTCCTCTTTTCTCCTTGCTAAAGCTTTTAGACATGTGCGCAGCCATAATTCACATTCCATTCCGTCTTCTCCCATTCAGTCAATCTTCTTCACTTTCTTGACTCATCTGTCCACACTTCTTGACGACAACGCTCTGCACATTCTAGCTTTTCACAGCCATTCTACTTTTCGCTAAACTCACTTTACTTTTTCTCCCGCCAACGCATAACCCTTCTACGCATGCAGAATCTCTTGCCTGGAGTAGATGTAGCGAGTAGAAGCGTTTGTTTTCATTGCTTTTATAGGATATTTTATGGTAGGTTGAGCCTCTTACAAAATCGACAATCAAAAAAGTATAGTATTTGTCATTGCTTTCTTCATCCAGCCTTTGACCATAGCATATAAATTTTTTTCATTCAATTCGCTATCAAACTTTGAAGGGTATGTGCTTGTTATCACGGTTATGTTTAATCTCTTTCTTTGATCTTATTTGCATTTCAAGGTTGCTGCGATGCTTTTTCTTTAGCTGTTTTCTCTTCCTGAGGCTATGGCAAGAAGCTGAAACGATTTGATGATCCATTTATTTGCTCTGATGCATCTTTGTACATTTCACAGATAAATAAAAAAATTCAGATGTCAATAACTTATTCAACATTCTCTCACCTACATTAAGCCCTGTGGAGATCGCATAAGGGCTGAGTGTATTTATTGCAAAAGTGTACTGCGCAAAACGTTGTAAAATGTATTTTTCCAAGCATAAACACTCAGTGGGAATCATTTAAAAGCTTAATCTCGTCTTTAAAATCGTTTCTTGCATGTTTCTCTGCAAAAGTTAGTATTAATTACTATACTGGGATGAGAAGACTCGCCAAAAAACCACCGCTACACTTTCTGGGAATTGACAACAAAACTCTTTTCCCATCTGAAATTTGAGAACCATGCGAAGTTATAAGATTGACAAAGTGCATAGGACCGATTGAGCGACTCCACTTCTCACTTTTGTATAAGATGAGCCAACACCAAAATGACGATGAGTAACAAAATAAAAACTGACAAAAGTTCTTGCGTTGATTTATCGTGTCTAGTATGTGCATTTTTACCGTACTTTTTTTCTAAACCTCTCTTCTTGCAGATGCCCAAATGTATACAGTGACATGCTACCTCTTCTACTTTCTTTGATTATTTGCTGTAATATCGAGGCCACCAACCAGCAACTCAACGATGACGCTTTACACTTTTCTAAAAGCAATGAGGCAAGCTTTTCATTCCTTTTATATCTTTCAATAATTTCAGCTTTTGTTACAAACACGGTTAGTTTTAAGGGCCCACGCATAGATCGGCACAGCTTTTTCAAGCAACATTTTCGCTTGGGATACAAACTTAGTCTTTTCTGTCAAGCATACGGAACTCCACGACCAGATATGAAATGGTACAAGGATGGAGTCGAGATCAACATTCGGCCTGGCCTTCAGGTACAAAATTTTACAATGATGTCATTTTTCATTTTGACTTTACGCTAACGGGAAAAAATCTGTAAATCGAATAAAGGCAGCATTAAGCAGATACTTATTCTTCAACAATGCAAATCAAGACACTCTATGTCCGATCAAAGTAAAAAGCATAAACTCCCCCCCCCCCCCCCCCGCCTCCCCTTCTCTAGAGGATTTGACCGTATACAATGCGGAGATCAAGATGATGGGTTCATTCTAGGCCACATAGTAATCTGGGAGGCATGCACATGGTGTTCCAAAAGTATATATACACTGTTTGATCGTTAATATCTCTCTTTCCAAAAAGTCCTTTACCTACCTCTAGATACCATTTTGTAAACTGGCTTCAACTTAGAATTTGGATTTACAATATGGAGGAATTACCGACCTCTCTCCGCTACTGTAGGATTACGGTAGAAACTTAAAGGAGGGTTTTGAATCTTTAAGGGCGTTTTCCGCCTCAGAAGGCCAATCAAACAACTTGAAAACTCTTATACTAGGCTAATTAGAGCCGCGTAAAATTAAATATAAAGTTTGCACTTTACAGCAATGCTTGCTTCATTGTTAGGTAACTGCAATAGCTGATTTTACAAGCTTCTTAATAATTATACATCTATAAATTTTTGTAAACTCGCAAAAAGTGTAATAAAATGAGCAGGCATTAAAAGTCTGATACACCACCTTTTGAATTTTTTGAAAACTTTTTTGGTAACGATTGATCCACAACGACGCTGTAAGCTAAATTTTTTCATCGTATTCTTACAGTAATGAAAAGCGTTCGGTGATCTGCTCCATACTGGATCCAAGCTGAACCAGCTTTACAAATGATAGCTGAACGTGGGCAAAAGACTTCTTGGGAAAAAAGATGTTCCCAATCAAACAGTTTTTACACACTTTTGCGACATCCTGTATAATAGTTTGCTTAGACGCTTCTTTTAATGGAATCACTCTTTTATCTTCTTATTTGTTACATTTTTTTGCACCCCTTCCAATCAATCACGAAATGACATTCTGTCAAAACTTTGGGGAAAACAATAAACTATCTTCGCCGCCAGGCAGCTGTTTATGAAAAAAGTTCACCAAGTAAACGCCACTAAACCACTTTACCATCACAAAAGCGAAAATTCTTTTAAACAAATGACGCACTTCAGAACCTGAAACTTTTGTTCTTCCAGATCCGCAACATCATTCGTCAGGACACAATTTCTTCACACTTGGACGTCGACCCTACCAGAGTACTGGATGCTGGAGAATACGAGTGTGTAGCAAATAACACCTACGGCTATCATCTAGGCCACATGCATGCATTGCTTCGCCTTTAGTCCATTTATCGCGCTGCTAGGTTCTGTAAAGTTCATGAAGGTGTGCTTTTTACCGCTCATTAATTGTGCAAAATATGAACAATTTTGATGTACAATTTGCTAAGTTTGACCTTCCATAAAATAAACCACCACTTGAATTTTTGGTGTGCCGTAGAATTCTTCCATAAAGCACAGCTTATTCAGGAAGGAGCTGGCCCTAATCTGAAGATGTACCCCATCCGGAAGTGAGCAGCGAACAGAAGAGGGAGGGACAAAATGTATGAAAGTGATAAAAGTAGTAAATAATATAAGATTTAGCTTAGCCTTTCTTTTACGTTCGCCCCAAAAATGATTTTAAAAAATCTACGAAAAGCCTTGCGCAAATAAATTGAGGTACGGGACATAGTTAATGAGCTATTTCTGCTAAAAATTATTTCTTTTGCGTTTTTCTGCAAAGCGTTTATGACCGGTCTAAAATAGAGAGGGAATTAAGGGGTTTGAAACAAATCAGAAAACTTAAACTTCGCAGCGGGCGGATGCTAGTAGGCTCTTTTCGCTAAAATTTATTGTTTGGATTTACCACGTTGACTTCTTACGCTAAGTTTTGTGCTAATCACGCATCAAATACTGCCAGATAAAATAATTTAACTGGCTTAGCCTACTGGCAAGATAAAACAGAAGAACCAGGTATTCAAAATTTTGATAAACATGATGGGCCTTTTGCGGCGTAGCGGCAGCAAGCAGCTGGTGAGCCATAAAACTGTGTGAGTAAATTGTTCTTACTTTTGGCAATCGAATAAACCTGCAAACTCACAAACAGCCGAATCAGCTGCGTAGAGAAAATTTTTCATGGGCGTGTGAACTATCCTGGCTGTCGAAAACTTGGGAAGCCCGCACGGTATCTCCGGAACAATTACATAGCACCACGCCTCTTACTCAAAAGAGCTATTCGAATCGCTATTTTTGAAGCGAAATCAAGATGTAAGCCATTTTGTATTCGCTTTATCTACACGTGTCAGGTATTACCACAAATGTTGTCGATCTTAGAATATACCTAAACGACTGCACAATGCCTGTTGATAAATAATATGGTGAAGCACGAGCATTATCTTATATATAAAGCTGAATGTCTGTTTGTACAGTCGGTTTCACCCCGGATTAGGCGGAACATCCCATAAGGAGGGGCGCGTACGCACCGCCGGAAGTCTCGCGAGCGCATAGCGCTGGCATTTTGCCAAGCAGGGACTGAGGAGAAGGGGGAGACTCAGACTTCGGTTCTCAGCACGATATGATGTACTGTAGCTGCGAAACGGCGCGAGCTGTTGCGAGGCGGACGCCCGCCAATCCAATTTCCGCGTAATGCGGGCCGACTTACTGTATGTATGTCTGTCTGTCTGTCTGAATGTCTGTCTGTGTGTACGTATGTTCCGAATAGAAAATTCCATTTCTGAACCGATTCGGACCAAACTTGGCACACATACACTTCGGGCCCCGGCACGTGTCATAGGCTACTTTTCGTATCGATCGATATCGATTTTATCGATTTTTTGCAAAATTTGAGCTAGGGGGCTGGGATTTGGCACAGGGGGGTAAGTGAGCATGGGGATTCCGAATACAATATTAGTTTTTAAAATCGCGCATTACTTTTATCGATTTTATCGATTTTTTTGCAAAATGTGAGCTAGGGGGCTGGAATTTGGCAGGGGGGTGTAATCGAGCATGCTGATCACCCCCATGGGGGTGATCAGCATGCTCGATTTATTCGGAACATACGGCGGAGCCGGGTAAGCCAGCTAGTACATGATAAAAAAATTGCGCTGTTCCAGATGAACGGGATTACCCGACGTTCAACCCGATCGTAGACGCTTTATAGTATGTAAAGTCTCAAACGTGATGCTTTTCTCACATAATGGTCTGCACATTTCTGTAATATGTGATTCAGCTTCAGCAAAAATTACAAAAACTCTCCATCTTTATTAAATTTCAATGAGTGGTTAAGGTGTAATGCAGGAATATACAATACTATCAAAAAATTACAAGAAGTAAAACCAACAATAAAACGTTCAATAAAACATCTCAGTAAAACGTGGATCGTGACTCGAAATTCCTTCTAAAGGTCCATGACTACAATAAACTTATACTTGCGAGAAAACTAATGTACAGTAGGTAGACAATCATAATGAGTGAATATATGGGGTACAGATAGCTAAAATCAAAATCAAAGCGTTCTTCAGAAAGTAAGACTTCAGCGATCTAAAATTCGAAATACTGTGGTTTATGCTGCCTCTGAATGTTGAGTGGAAATTCAATCGCTAGTGATTTTTGCAAAGTACAAGATAAGATAAATCAGAATTTGTTGCTAGAAAAAGTTAATAAGGGAACTCGGCAAAAGATGATTGTGACGATACAGAAAGACCTGTAATGATGATCTAAAAAGAATACATAAGTCAGATTTCGTTCCTTAAACGCTATTTAGTTCAGAAAAATATTACAATGACCGTTAACTATCAAGAACACATTAAGGTGCAGTTGCACTCCTTGTGAATGTCGGCTGCATGAGCATTGGGCCTTCCCTTGAGCCTAAACACAGTCGTAGGATAAAATGAACAAACACGAATATTAAAACCATTTCCTTGATCTTCAGTGATGGTCGGTAGTGAAAATGATGGGTAGTTCGTTATAGCCGGCTGTACGTACTAAAGATGTGAAAATGTTGATTACTGGGCGCAGATGACATGCACGTAATACGACGAAAACGTAAGTGAGCTACCTGTGCGGTTGTATCTTCATATAAGCTGTATCCACTCGGGAAGGTGAAAAAATATGCAGGAGTCCAAACAGTAGGAGAGATGGCCATTACTGTGCCAGCATCCTAGATTTTGCGCAAACATTAGGAAAATCTTTCCTACACATTGAGCAGTTAATTTGTAAAAACTAAATTACGTCTATGGGGCTGCTGCTCGCGCTATCATGTTCGCCGACACAACCATTCGCAATCATATTCGAAACAGGTGACCATGAATGAGTAAAGGGAACCAGATCGGAGACTCGGACTTTCCTGGAAAAAGGCCTCTGTAAAAGTTTGGAATAAACTGAATTCGGATCAGCTGCAAGGAACAAGCTCGGAAATAAAACCGGAAAAGAGGAACTTTGCTTGAAACAAGGTGCTAAGAGGTTTTTGAAAAAGTATAATAACACACCTCTTCTTTCCATCCACAATAATCAACCGATTTTCTTCGTCCAAAACTGTCAACACGAACGCCTACAATGAAGAGTAAGTGCTTAAAACGATTGAGGATAGGGAAGCTACATAGTTACGCAGAACGATAACGATCTAGTTGGCCATGACTTCAGCTCGTGAGCAGTTGATGGTGGAACGGGCAAGCGCTACAAGCCCGTAGTGATGAACGGTGAAGCTACCCTCACGAATTTCCGTCAATTTCTAAGTTTACAAGCTCTGCACTAGCAAATACAACAAAAAAAAGACTGGATGCTTTCATCGAATATGATATCGTCCGTTGTCCTGAAGGCGGGGGAGAGAGAGAGAGAGAGAGAGAGAGAGAGAGAGAGAGAGAGAGAGAGAACAGGAGTGAGTCACCTAGTGACAGCGGTATATGACAGCTCTGAAAAACTATGCAATTTAAAACTTAAACCATTTATCTGAGCCAAAAATGGGGAGATCACTGCATTAACTGAGTTGCAAATTTCGTGAGCTCACTCCAACTACATCGAATCAGATCTATATTACGGAGAACAGAACAAAGATTAGTTGATTACTTCTGTTACTTACTTTGTGAAGAACCTCAGCCCGCAGGAAGAAACAGTGCGTACCAGCTTCAAATCTGTCTGGAAGACAAAAGGGGTTTCAAAGGCGAGAGGTAAAAAAGAATCCATCAAATCAATTACTACCGATACCAATTTGTTCAAGCTGCTGTCTCTTATCCTTCGTGTAGAGGTCGTAGGCGATGTTGCGATAGACAGACGGATCCAAAGCTTTCACTGCAGAATAGGGGATAGGGGGTCGCCAATTTCCCACAGAATGCTGTAGATGCGATAATCAAGGAGAATGGCAAATCGAGTGTATGCATACCTGCGCGGGTGAGGGGCTGGTTGGGTATGAAAACTGGCTAGGCCTAGAAGATGATGGAGTTTGTATGTCACCTCCGACGCTATCTGCAAAATAACAGCGATCAAAGTAAGCGTGATGCGCAATCCAAGAAATTTTACCCATATCAGCTCGAACATGAGCGATACACTCTTTGATCACTTCGGGTGAATTTTTGAATGTATCAACATATAGCATGTGATAAAGAATACCTTAATATAATAAATAAGCATACACTAAGAGTCTATAAAAATAAAATATACTTTGAGCGCATGCTAGGTTGATGTGGTCCTCATAACTGTATACCAGATCGAAACGGCCACGAGCAGACTCACACAAAACCACCTATCAATAAAATTATTTAAAAGAAGTGGATACTGTTTTTGGGTGAGCAGGTCCAAGATATTTGAAAAATATCCGAAAACACCAAATGCGCCGTTTGCGCTGCTCTTTTCTCAGCCTGAACAAGCTCACTATAGAAGGCAGGAAATAGTGCAGATACCTTGTTAGGACGATAAGTGGTGAGCTTCAAACCCTGGTACACGTCAGGTTCTCTCCCGATAGCGCGATAAACATGGATTATTATCCTGTAATCGTACAAATAAGAAGATATAGACGACACCGTACGCATAGACTGGACGCATTTGCGTCCGACTAAGATAGTTCGCGCAGGAAGAGGCAGCAGAGACGGCAAGAGGGATGAGAAAGCGCTCGATCGACGAGACGCCGACACTGCCCCTACTGACGCCCTGTCTGCGATGATTTGCCTATACGATGAGAAGGAGAGGAACAGATTTTATCATAAAGTAAGATGACTGGATATATGTAGGGCAACAATGACAATCTGAGATCCGAGATCTTCAGAAATTCACAAATCTCATAGATACCTCAATAAGCGTGCAATAGTCTTCAAAGT